ATCATGTCACCTTGTGCATAGCCAATTATCCATCAGAAGCCATTTCAAAATTTGTTGCTTTGTGACACGATATGGGGAAGTGACCACCTAGAGGCAAGATGGCCGGATCAACTTCAGCCAATTTGTTAATGAATTACTTTATTATTCTGGGGGGTCATCCCTGCACCATGTTATATCACAAAGAAACAGACTTTGGAATGACTTGTACTGGCCAGTTGGCCCTGAACCTGGTGACATGATTAGGGATTTTCAAACATCCACTACCATCCTGCTAAACTCTACAGGCTCTTTTAAGTGGTTTTTAGCAAAATTTTGCCAGGTCATCAAGTTACCTTCACAGAGGTTTTCATCCAGCAATGTAGCTCCTGTATTTCTGTCACTGAATTCTACACTGCTGGTATTCAGATCTAATTACATCAGTGGTATTTGTCCTAATAGTTGTTACTGACACAGCCACACATACATCTGTTGGACGAGAGTGTTTAAAGATTTATTTTTTTGTGGTAAGCATTCCTTTCTCATGAAATAAGGGTCCTCCTTGGCGTAAAATTCTCTTCAATGATTAGTGAGCTCACCAGTGCTTTCATATTACAGATGTTACAGTTAATAAAAAAAATGAACTTCAATAAAATTTGAGAACCTGCACTTAATCCACATTGGATTATTGAAAATGCAACATTAGGGAACGCTGAGCCAAATTTTTAAAAAAATCCACTGACAGCAATGGGAGTGTAAACGAAAGTTCAATCACCAGACGTAGGAACACCTAGGCAATTTCATTCACCCAATCGCAACCATAGGTCTTTTATTTAAATGCCAATAACGTGTTTCCGTTTGCTGTTTGCAGAGATTTCGCATCACCCACCACCTCCCTGCCACCACCAACTTCCTGGCTCCGCCCTCTTCAGCATCAAACCCATTGCCCTGCTGACCAGATGACCCTTCCAAATGGGGGATGGCTTCGCCACTGCCTGTTACGCCGGCAGATCTGCACCCCACCTCGCTGAAGGATCCTCAAGGACGGAGTCATCGCCAAAGATATTCTCGAATTCATTTCATTGTCAATAAATCTTTTCTTTTAATTCCGGAGTCTTCGTGATTGAACTGCACTTACAATACCATCTGAAGCCAGTAGTCCGTAGCCCACTCCTATATTTATACCTGTCTCGTGTTCCCCAGTCAACCTAAACCAAATATCCTCTCAAGGCAAGAGATGATCGATTTCTGGAATTGCACAGCAAGATTTTCTTTTGCAGAGTGTGAGCCTACATCCCCACTTGTAAACAGTTACTAGATTTTTGACAGCATTTCTGATTGTTGACCACGTGACTCAAATCTAAACACGCAAATATTAGCATTTCGCAGCGTTCCCCATGGGCAGCGCCCTCATCAACTGCCCAACAAAATTTTGCAATTTTCCAGAACTTTGTCCGTCTCAGACTGGCATCAGTCAAAATGAAGCTAGGCAGTCGTGGCCCATTGAGGAATTTCAATTTTCAAAGCTAATTTTTGAAGAATTCAAATTTTGGCTCTCAAGAAACTGGCGCTTCTGGAGGCCATTAAAAAAACTGTTTGGTTTAGGGACCTGCAAATTCAGGATTTTTCAATCAACCCATAGACCTTCCATAGAAAAGAATTCTGACATATCTGAGGGGGTCATAGATCACTCTCCAATAGTAATCCACCTTTATCTTTAAAAGAAGTTGGCAATTAAGCCGAATAAATAACATTACGGTTACTGGCATGACTGTACAGTTAAACACTTGAAGGATCCACTACCTGAAAAACACATTTTTCCTCAAAGGGACCCATCAACCTGCCGTGGTCTTGAGCCTCCTTCAGTTTGAAGGTCTAAGAATAGGCAATAATTTTAAGCATAAACATCATAAAGGTCATAGTTAATAATTACAACCCCAATTCTGAAATAGTTGGGACAAAGTGTAAATTGTGAATATAATCAAAGTGCAATGATTTTCAAATCACACCAGCCAGTATTTTATTCACAATAGAACAGATATAATACAGCAAATGTTGAAACTGAGAAATTTTTCAATTTTATCCACAAAATGAGCTCATTTCAAATTTGATGGCTGCTACAGGTCTCAAAAAAGTTGGGACAGGGGCCTGTTTACCATGGTGTAGCATCCCCTCTTCTTTTTAATACAGAGTGGAGGCGTCTGGGCATTGAGGAGACAAGTTTCTTGAGTTTAGCCATTGGAATTTGATCCTACTCTTGTTTAATACAGGCTTCCAGCTGCTGGAGAGTTTTGGGTCTCCTTTGATGGACTTTTCATTTAATTATGTGCCAAATGTTCTCAATCGGTGAAAGATCGGGACTGCAGGCAGGCCAGTTTAGCACACGAACTCTTCTACCACGAAGCCATGCTGTTGTAATAACTGCAGTATGTGGTTTTGCATTGTCCTGCTGAAATACACAAGGCCTTCCTTGGAATAGATGTCATCTGGAGGGGAGCATATGTTGCTCTAAACTTATATATACCTTTCAGCATTCATGGTGCTCTTTAAAACATGCAAGTGTCCCACACCATATGCACTAATGAATCCCCATACCATCAGAGATGCTGGCTTTTGAACTGAACGCTGATAACAGGAGTGTTGGTCTTTCTCTTCTTCAGCCCGGAGGACATGACGCCTATGATTTCCAGAAAGAATGTCAAATTTTGACTCCTCTGACCACAGGACACTTTGCAACTTTGCAGTCCATTTTAAATGAGCCTTGGCCCACAGAACACGGCAGCGCTTCTGGATCATGCTCAACAATGGCTTCCTTTTTGCATGATAGAGTTTGAGGTGGCATCTGTGGATGGCACGGTGGACTGTGTTTACAGACAGTGGTTTCTTGAAGGATTCTTAGGCCCATTTAGTAATGTCAAGGACAAAATCATGCCGGTGAATGATGCAGTGGTGTCTGAGGGCCCGAAGATCACGGGCATCCAGTAAAGGTCTTCAGTCTTGTCCCTTACGCACAGAGATTTTTTCAGTTTCTCTGAATCTTTTGATGATGTTATCCACTGTCGATGATGAGACCTTCAAAGCCTTTGCAATTTGACATTGAGGAACATTGTTTTTAAAGTATTCCACTATTTTTTTACGCAAGCCTTCACAGGTTGGAGAGATTCTGGCCATCTTTACTTCTGAGAGACTCAGCCTCTCTAAGACATCCCTTTTATAGCCAATCATGTTACACACCTGATGCAAGTTAATGTAATTACTTGCTAAATGTTCTTTCAGCTGATCCTCTTATATATTAACCCATTAATGCCCAAATTTCTTTTCAAAGTAAAAGTTACCTTTCACTATCGGATATGGCGTACAATGAACATTCAACACTTATATTCGGGGGAAAAATATTTATTTTGTCATCGAGGACCCCAAGTATGTATGTTCCTTTATGAATGTACACAGATTGTTGAAAGCATAAAAATCATCATTCTGAGAAAAACATATTTAGACAATGCTATAATCTCCAATTCTTGTCTTTAGTGTGATATAAAAATGTGCCTCAGTCAGAAAAAATGACGCACACACCTCTTGGAGCATCACATAGTGCTGTTACAGATTCGAGAAATTCATGCAAATGGCGGCCCCCACCACTGCTGTAAAGGGAGACTACTCTCATAAGCACTTTTCCTGGATGCGAGTTACTTCCCTTGATTAAGCTACAGCAGCTTAGTCACAGTAACGCATTCACTTGGGTTACAGAGGTTAAAATGTGCCATGTCCCAGAAATGGGACAGTGGTCATTAATGGGTTAATTGCTTTTTCAGCCCTTTTTTGCCCGTGTCCCAACTTTTTTGAGACCTGTTGCAGCCAGAAAATTTGAAATGAGCTCATTTTGTGGATAAAAATGTAAAAAATCTCAGCTATGTTCTATTGTAAATAACATATTTGCTCATGTGATCTGAAAGTCATTGCATTTTGATTTAATTCACAATTTACACTTCGTCCCAACTATTTCGGAATTGGGGTTGTATATTACTGTAAAAACTTCAACTAGAAGAATTAAGTGAGAGCCATACTCACACAATCCATTTCGTATCAACACACCCCAATTTCGGGTTTACAACAGTCAGTTGATGCAAGTGTTCAGATGAAGATGTTAACGCTGTCGGCACATCCTGGTTTTTTCATTGAATGTTGGCCATACCCTAGGGCAAATTTTAGCAAATTCCCTTAGTGAGTCATGGCTGGGAACTTGTCAAATGTATCGTTGTTTACACACGGGGCCGTTGGAAATCTACATTTCAGAACATATTTTTTTAACAAATATCTTCCAATCTCGGCAGTATGAAACCAATTTTAACAAATTCTTTTTTTCATTCATAAGGAAAATATATCAGCTGCAATGTGCATTGATAAGTACATGATTATAATCATTGGTGACACTTAGTGGGGCTCCAGAATGGGTGGCCCCTCCCAAAAACTAAAAAATGTTAGAAATATCATTTTTTGTCATAAAGAAAATTGATATTGCAGGTTTCTCTGGTGGATTCATGAACCTCATGGGGTGGTTTATCAATGCTGAAAATTATTTTGAAATCGGTGGTTTGGGCCAGAAAAAGAGCTTATTTGGACTCCACCTTTGATATTAATTCTGGTCGTCTTCTCTTAAAGTTTGGATTTTGTAGGAGTCTGTAGAATGTCATTTCAGACTCTGTCTCCTCCATCACTGGGACAACAAAAAAATGAGCGAAACAAGATAGATTTGTGGGCTACGGAGGAGTTGCTAATGAAGGAGAGACGTGTACAAATTTGGAGAACTGGGACACACCCTTAAAGGCAGCCATTGTTAGTCTGCAGAAGCAGGACTGTGTTGGCTTCACCATTTCTTTCCCACAAAGCCCAACTAAAGGAGCTGTAATTGGAGAAGCGCGTTCCCAATTCTGCATTTCTGACAAGTCACTGTTAATTAGATGCTCCTGAGCCCTTTTCTGTCAGAAGGAAACAGGAGGAACCTCTCCCACTCATACATACTCAATGTCTCTGTGACACAATTGGTTAGCACATTCCGCTGTTAACTGAAAGGTTGGTGGATCAAGCCCACCCAGGGACAAAGGTCTTCTATGAGACGTGCGCTCACATTTCAGGGAGCATTCGGTGCTCGCTCTATGGACGCGCTCAGGATCTCGCTGATATTGAACCAGTCTGATGTGCCAGTATAAGCAAAAGCAACTGTGAACTCTGAAGATCAACTAAATCAAAGATACTTATTCATAGTCCTTTTTTTTTGGGTCCGCTTTTGTTTGCCTGTCAACAACAAACTCGGATTCAAGATTCCAGGTGAACATAGTTAATGGACCTTTCCAGCCCATCAATCAAATGTAGAATAACTACCAATCAGATTGCTTTATTTTACTAAGGTCCTGCCTGCCCCAACAGCACCACCATATTGCCCCACATGAAATGCAGTCATTAGCTGTGCGTAATGGGCAAGGTGTCTGACTTTTTCGAAAATAGTCCTTGGATGCGCTCAGGGAACGTGTTATGCTGACGAAAGATACCCAGCCTGGCTACAGAGAGCTCAATCAATCCTTTTCGAAAGCCAAAACGCAGTTGGAAAAGTGTTTGCGATGGATTAAGGCAGGTAGAAAGCCTCACACGCAGCTCAATGTGAATAACACTCGAAGGTACTGTAAGCAAGGGAAATTTTTTTTGCCATTTCGCCTTCACTAGTTAGTTACGAACAATCTACATATGTGTTTTTGCTGATAAGACAGAATTACACCAACAGCATCATTCATGAATACATTAACATAGTATTGTTTTCCCCCAGTGGACCTCTGCATTCAATACCAGATATAGCTACACGCCAGTAGCTATTCTGCTGAAAACATGATTCCTTCATGCCACCCAGAACAGGCATTCGCAGTGACATGATGTAATCTGCTTAGAAACTTTAACACGAGAAAAGCTGGCTAGGTAGCTAGCCAGCGAACTAGCTACAATCGCATTCCGAATGTCAGTCACTTAGCCGAAATAAATAAAGTTAGTTTGTTATTGAAATTGGTTTGGAGGAAAAAGCCGGCATAACGAACATTCCATTAATAACTCAATTATGTCTAATGTAGCTAGTTTAGGGGTTAGCTTCACTGCGTAATATGATTTATTGCGAAGTCTAGCTAGCGTACTGCCTGACTCATGGCCAACTGACGTTAGACAGCATCCTGGATCCAGTGTTATTTTTAGCTCAGTGATGGCAGCAAACATATGAAAACTACTAAGCCTATTTTACATGTGCAGTACGATTCTTCTATTTTGCCTGGTTTAATTTCAATGTGCAGTTTATTGGGTGCTCCACTTTCCTGCATTGATCGCCAGCACTTTGTGGTTACTCTTTGCGGTTATCTCCACCCGTTCCGTTAAAAAAATTGATGTCATGGGTATATCCTTGCGTGAAATAGTGAAGGCCTCTCTGGAAGACTTTGCCAGACAAGTTGGATGCATTCAGTAGGAAATAAACCACAACATATTCAGGAATACGTACCAGAGAGTGGTGCTCAAACTGCATAGTTGTGGGTCTTAGCAACAGTTACTAAGGGGGCGGAGCTGGTCAGAGTTAGTCGGAAAGGTCCATTGTAATCTACTGATGAAGTTCTTAAGTGGTAAGAATGATGGCTGGTGGCAACTAGCACCTCATGCTGGCAGATGGATGCAGTAACAGCCTGACACAGCCATTTTATGAGCAATTTGAGAGGCAGCAGGTGTTTGTTAGCTCCAAACCTGTTTCCTGTATTTCCTGGCTTGTTAAAGCTATACTAAGATTGGTGTCCTGGCTCAGAATAATTTTGCTGAAATAAATGAGCGCCGAAAGTTATTCCTAAATATCTTGCAAGACAGTTTCTTCTCTGACGTAGATTAACATCAAAACATTCCAATTTGTGCGATATTAATCTGTTCCATTTAGAGAACTTGCAAAACCTAAGCCATGCACTGCAATTGAATAAAGACCCCAGATATATTCTCTAGTCTATAGAATTAAATTAATGGATCTTTTGGGGGTGAATGGTTGATACCAAAGACACTGGAGCCTTTACTAACAAGATAGAGCAAAACTGAAAAATGAATTGGATTTTTTGGCCGATGTTCCGGTCTCCTAAAGTGGGCGTTGCCCCTAAGCACATGCTGTTTGAGCTCAGTATTTTCAGCAGTCATATTGGCAGGTGGTTGCACGATGGTTCAACGGTGAGACCAATATATGGAAGCGACGTTTTTCTGTCTTTGCTGTCAAGTCCAAAAATACGGATGACTAAAGTATCAGCTCGCTAGCTAACTTTCACGAAAGCTGAGTTAATTAGAAGTCATTGAATTAAATACATTAAGCAGCGGCGGATCCAGGAATTGCTGAAAGGGGGGGCGCAGCCCACCATGCGCGCCGAAGGTGCATGCAAGGAGGGGTGTCTGGGGGACCTCCCCCTGAAAAATTTGAAAAATTAATGTGCTGAAAACACATTTTCCTGGTATCCTGGGAGAAAAATCTGGCCTATCTGTTCAATGATTTTCCTCCCAAGGTTCCAAAAATTAAGCTAAAAAAACTTTCAAAGTGCCGGTATAACACAGTTTTACATTAACTGACAACTTTTACCTTTACCTAAGACTTTCACTTTACTCTCAAAGTTCGTGACCTAAACCCTTTCACTGCTGTTGATGACTTGGTCAAAATTTCAAAGAGGAGAAAATCTTTCGAAATCGTCCAAACCCAACTGTTCATTGGAAAGAGCTTGATGAGAGCTTTCCAGTGAATAGCAATGTTCTATGGTTTGAGCGATTTTCAAAGGTTTTGATGTTTCAGAAATGTTGACAAAATCACCACTAGCAGTGAAAGGGTTTGACCATGTTTCCCATAAAACATTGATATTATTAGTTTTTGAGTTTATCTAACACCAACAAGCCTCCAACAAAATAATTTTAATGTATATCTAACATGCAAACCCAGTGGCTATATGCATCTGTGATTTTAGCAGATGTTAACAGATCACCAAATCCCCTCTCCCTCCCAAGGCCCTAAACCAGGTTTAGTAAAAGATACCACCCTCAACAGCTTGTAAAAATTTATTACAATGCTGTGATTGCCTTTTTTTTCAAAATGGTTCTGAGGCTTTCATGCTTCCAAAACACTCGCAAGTGTTGTAAGAGTAGGAAGTGTTGTCATACACGTAATCCGAGTTGCCATTAAATTGAATTTCTGCACATGTGAGTGAATTTACTAATCTGGAGGCAGTGGTTGGGTGGGTAATGTCCAAAAACAAACCATCTTATTAATATTAAAGATCCTACTTATCCTAAAGATGTCCTGAAATGAATTTAATACAATGATGCTGTCCTATATTAAAACATAACAGTGTGAACATATAAACTATTTTTTACGGAAATATTATTATTATTATTATTATTATTATTATTATATGAATGAATGAATTTAGAATTTTTCAATAAGACCATTGGACTAATTGAATTGACTCACAAATAACCTCTTTTAAAATAATGTTACATTTCTTACTTACAGACTCTAAAGGGAATAGAATAGCTCACTAGCTTCAGAACCGCAGTATCCGCTGGTTACAAGTTTCATGACGGGTGATTCTGAACGTCAAGACGGGGTTTTGGAATGGAAAATTTGGAAAGTCTTCCGGTATTCCAGGACAAATTTTATTTGGCACCGTGAAACAACGAATCAATACACATCAAATAGTAGGCTATGAACAACTGGTCCATCAGTGGGGTCCTTTTGAAAGCTCAAGCAAATTGTAACCGAACGCATACTTGCAATAGCCTATTCAATTAATTTAACGTCAATCTTACCGCTTCCATGCCCCCCTGTAAATGAAAACTACTTGCTACGAAGATCATCATGGCCAAACAGCTGGCCTTTTTTTTTTTTTGCATTTGAAAGGCTGAGCCTTAAATGTCTGTTTACTTTATTCTCTAAGCTTTTCCGCCTCTCCGTTGCTTTCTGACATTTTCGTCTGAAGTCGTAGTAGTTGAAACGCGTTTTTAGACAGTCACCGCAACAGGGGACAAGCAAGGCCATTGGTCGAACAAATTTCCCAGCAAGCCTGCCTTCTTAAACTTTAGGACGAAAACAATAAATTTAAATAAATTGTACATAGCTTAAGTCCATGAATAGTTTTTTTATTTGCAAGAAAAGAGTTTCTCGTCATTCCTATCGCATAAAGCAAATATATACAATTGGATCCAAATAAATTGGTCATGATGCTAGACAACCGGAATAGTGAAGCTGAACCATTAAAATGGTAGGCCTATATAAACCTTAAAATCTACATGTTCACTGACCAATATGCCACAATTCAAAGCACCATAGATATCATTAAGTTTGTCACATTAAATGTTCTTCGGCAGGGAACCGAACTGCAGTATTGACCCCTTCGCCCCTGCATGTGAACATACAGGACCAGATTGCAAACAATTCCAAGCTAAGATGAGCATCGTTACCGCTGTGCTGTCTTCGATGTGCAACGAAGAAACATTTTCAAATTAAACTTAAGCCCAACGCCCACTGGCCGCGAAGCGTCGCGTGAAACTCCGAACGTTTTCAAAAGCCCACTGGAAGCGTCAACAGCATCAATATTGACGGATGACAACAGGACAGAGAAGCAAGCCATGGGTGTCACTCTCATAATATTCAACAAGACAACCTTAAATTTTGAAAACGCCTACCAATAAAGCTTATTTTAAGTGATGGCAAAGTGCGACATTCATCAGTGAACCTTGAGTTAGGTTCTAACTGTAGATCGCTTAATAATTTAACTGCCCGCAAAACAATTGATTTCCCTTCAAAAACCGTAACTTGGTTAAAAAAGCGGTTATATCGGTTTCGACAACTATGTGCGGTTTCTGCTAAATGTATGCCACTAACCATGACAAGGCGAAATTGTTAAATAACCTAAAAGACAAATGAGTTTCTATTGAGTTGACACTGAAGAAATTGAGCAATGGCGAAAAGTAAAAACCTGACGCGTCACACGCCGCCAGTGGGCGTTGCTCCAATGAAATGAATGAAACCTATTTTGAGAAGCGCGTCTCACGCCTCCGCTA